AACCCTTCCGAAGTGGCTTACATTAGTGAAGCTAGTCGGTATCGGGAAAGTATTCCTAACAGATAAGTTCTAGATATTAATATTATACTAGTAATATCTTAGTACTAGAGCCTCCTAATTACGATAGTCAATAAAAGGACCACCTCCTATCCTCTTAATTATCTACTTTTCCACCTATCTATCACCTTCTGTAGCTCGTTGATACGCTGCTCACAGCAGTCCTCAGCACTGCCTAGCATCGCTAGCGCTATAGTGCAACAGCTAACATGTGGCTCGTGCTCTATACCCCAACCTATGGGACATCAAGATGATGGATGGAGAGGAGATAGTAGTGGTGAGCGCTAAGGAGGGAGTGATTCACACTGGAGCAAGGGAGGACCTCGAAATCTTCTTCTTGAAGCTGGTCTGCAGCATGTTGATCCGGCTCTTGCAGCTCACGTAGTTCTAAAGACTTCTCCTAGTGCATGTCCGCCATGATCTTCACCAGAAATTGGGTCCAAGTCACATTGTTACCGATGTGTTTCATGAACTCTTTGCGACCAAATATGCTCTTGTCCTGCTCGAAGGCGGTCTCCAGTTGAGCCTTGAGATATTTCGGAAGTCAACTCTCATCCTCTGAGAGTTGAGCATACACCTCACATACAGCATCCAAGATCTGGGCAATTGTCAAATCTTTGCCAAACATTCACAACAAATCACATCTCGTTTGAAAACTCTAACTTTTAACCCTATTCTAGCTAGCTTCATGCTGTTGCTTTCTCGTTCCAAGACTCATACAGTGTTATTGCCTCATACTGCTCACAAAGGCTGGACACTGAGGTCGTCGAGCTAGATGTGGTCGTCTCAGGTTGGTTGCGAGCGAGGGACTCTGCGAAAGATTCGCTTTCTTTTCCAGCCGGCACGCAGACCTCCGCATTATACTCTATCTGCATTTCATGGAGTCGTTTACTTAATGCCATATGTGCAACGAGATTTCGCAAATGTGATTCTTTATATAGTTTCTTGCTAATAAGGTCTTGGAGGTATAGCATTTCGAATAGATACAGCTACTGGTATTTGATGTCGAAGTTCATGGAAACAAAAGATAGGAAAACTAAAGACCTACTTTATCGCTTATGGAGTCAAATTGGGGGCTTCCAAGGGTACCAGAACTGAACCCTTATCCAGCAAACGTGATCAGATAACCCCAGTGTTTCGAAGCACTACAGTACTTTACTTCACAGCAAGTCCCCAATCTTGAAACCCTCGGCCATGAGGATAGCTGGGGTCTTATGTCGGGCTCGCTCAGCAAACGTTTGGGGAGCAAGTATGCCCCCCTTCAGCAAATATGCAAAAGTTTCCAGGGAAGGAAGGGGGGGGGGGGGGGGGGG